GAGGAACCTGGTATAATTGAGACATATGCTTTAATTAGAGTGGCACAGGCACTGCATGATAGCAGGCCTATCACAGCTTGTCTGCTCCAGAAATACAAAATGCAAGTTTCTGAAGACATGAACACAAAACTTTTGATTGCCTAACTCAAGGACAGCATATTTCTTCTACACCAGAGGCAAAAGCAGAAGTTGCAACCTATAATTTGTCTTGCTGCCTGTTTTGGCATGATTTTACATACCCATTCTCTGCACACAAATGTATTTATGAGAAGGGGTAAACCATCTGCCAGAGAAAACTGATTCCAAATGTCAACCCCATTTGTCAGAAATTCCCTAACTACCAGGTAACTTCCAGGTTTCACTGAGAAGGCTTGATCCGGCCTGAGCTTCTTAAGGCATCCTCCAAGGAAACAAAGGCAAACAATAAGCATTTTGGTAGAAGCCACTGAAAATGGTTCAAATAATATGATTTTTATGATATATTAAGTACTTCCACCAGAAATGGAACAAGGAGGAAGCGTAATAGGAGGGAGGTCCTATTTCCATGCTCCTAACAGCAATGAAAGGGTCTTATTTATCTTGAAGTTCCAGTAAGGGATTCATTCTCTTTGTGAAGATACAGTTTTCAGGCAAACCTTGTGATTTACACCTCTGGGTTGAACTCTCCCGCTGACTGCTTACCCAGTATTTAACACATTTAACTCTCCCAGGTAACACTGGGCAATTTTTCACGAAGAAACTTCATGCTCTTGTCCTGTTGAATAAAGGACTGCATGAACAGAACAAAGGCTCAGAGACAAATCTAGGCGGGATTATCAGAAATGAACAGGTTGTACAGCTCACTGTAAGGCACAGCTAACAACATCAAGGCACCCCAAGCCTGAGGCTTAAGCCTGGGGCACTGGAAAAGCAAAGCAGACACCGATCTTGTTATACCTCTTTTAGAATATAGGAGTGAGGAGGTTACAGCCTGAAAATGGAGGTAGTGCTTTCTTCCTCTGAATGTGGACAGTTTTTGAGGACAATGAGAGCAGAGCTTGGACCTTAAATATATTTATTACAACATATTTATTCAGTTCTTACAACACACATCCTTCTGAACAGGATCAAAAGAAAAATAATATAGGCCATACTCATATAAATAAATTCTTATTGCAATTTAATTAGCTTGTGAATATTTTCTTTTAAGTTATCAATAATATTAAGCAGCTTTTTGATCTGGTTATATTAAGGCTGTCATAGTTGCATTGTAACACAGTATGGTGTTACTACCACACTAAAAAAAATTAAGACACAAATTTGGAATGTACAAAATACATGACTTGATAACCTACAATGTTATGAAATCTTTTCCTAAGCAGAAATTTTAAAATGTCTCAGACAGTGTAATATTTATATTGCCCCATTTTGTCAAGCACACATAGTCACACACAATTACTCAATTCAAACAGAAGCATAATCCTTGCAGAAGGTCCTACCCTCTATGCTTGTTAATTCTGTTCCTTAAAGCTGTTTCTTGATAATACAGTACACCTTTAGTGACAATCCATGGCTTAAGTCATGTGGCTGAGTGATTTTAAACTAGTGAAGATGTGCAATAATCCCTTCTGTGCTGTTACATGGACCTTGGTTCTGTTAAGAAACTGAATTTATAGTAAGGACCTGTGTCTGCTGGATGTAATGGTCATGCCTGTGACACCACTGGTCTCCAGTCAGAGCATGTTGCCTGTTCCACTGCAGTCAGCCAGACAAACACACACACATGCAAATTCTGTGGTGCAGTCATGGTTTGTGGTACTCTTTGAAGAACATTCTCTCATTAAGTTGAACCTTGAAGCCACAACAGCAAAATTTAAAATGTTTGGAGCAGTTAAAAATGTTGCCCTTTGATTACAGAAAATCGGAGTAAGCAGGGTGGAATAGCCAGGGCACTGGGAAAGGCTCATTCTGTTAGAAAATCTATCTTTCCAAAATTAAGAAAACGTGCAAGTAACCAGTATTATGGAGTAGTAGTTAATTCCCTACAAATCAAAATGAAAGCGTGAGAAGACACGTCTTCTTTTTCAGACTCAGAGAAGGATTTGCATGCCAAAGAGTATGTCTCTTTCCTGCTGCTGCCTGCAAGCTTTCCTTCAATTACATTCTCTGACTGCCATGGTTAGATTACTACTAGCATTGGCTTATGAACAGACTGACTTTCACAATCATCTGTGATCTATTGCTGTAACACCTACAACTTCTAGGACTGGAAAAGACTGGAGAAATTACAGGCTCTGTTTGCAGTTTAACAATGTTTTTCCTGTATAATGCCCACTACAATTTTTGAAAAAGCATTAACAAATTATTATTGTCATTGAGGCATTTCCTAAAAAATACATCACATTGTAATGATGATTATTTTTCAAATGTAAGGCAAAGCTTGTGGATAAATATATTATGGCATAATTCCTAACAATGCATTCAACATGTGATCCGTTCCTTCCTAACCAGTTCATGATCTAGCCGAGAGGCATCCTTGCCCATGACAGGGAGGTTGGATTAGATGATCTCTAAGGTCCCTTCCAGCCTATGCCATTCTATGATTCTATGATTTATGCAGAGGGTTAACATTTTTGGGGGGAATTTGTAGCTAAAACAATTGTATAGCAATTCATTTACCTATGAACTTCTTGATAAGAACTGATACAGGGTTTTAAAATGTTCATTCAGGATGATCAAGTCTGGAATGGAAACTCTTGTATTTGGTAGTAACAGTAAAGCATTTACAGCACTCACATAACGAATTATCTGGTCACCATGTGGAGCACTGGAGTTGAATACAGACTGACTCTGCCGTGGTTGACAATATCTAGGAATACCAAGATACACACTTAAACAACAGATGCCTGATGGGTTTCTTTATGGCCAGGGAAAACCTGAGTGATTCAACAATGCTATCATCTCCTAAAAGTTTGTGACCAGTTCATGAAAAATAACCTCTCAATCAAAATTTGCAACAGTGACAAATCCCCCAAATAGCCCAAAGGTGGCTTCACTTGCTAATTTCTTTAAATGGCTTATGAAATGCTACTCCCCTCAGAGTTGCCGCATAAGAGACAATTCCACAGCTACAAACCTCAGCACCTCAGAGCTGGGGGAAAGTACACTTAAATTCTGGCAGTTGTTCTTCCTCATAGTGGGAAGGATGAGTGAAATCTTTGCTTCCTGTTCCCTGGGTTATAGGTATCAAGCTCCAGCTGACCACTGGGAAAATTTCAGAGATCAGTTATTTCTCTTGTAACGTTAGGTGCAGGTGTTAGCCAAGAGAAATTTCTCCTGGATATGCTGACATCACTTGAGCCTGTAGGACTTCATACAGCATCACCTTCTCAAACAGTACTTTGATCCTCCCACAGTCAAAGTGAGTCAGTGACACAGAGTTTGTTGCAGCAGGTTGCTTCCAAGTATGAGCCATCAAGAGACACTCAACAGGGTGAGTCATGACAGCTATCTTGATATTGTCACAACCTTTATTAGCTTTACAGCTACCATTAAACACTGATCTTTAGAATGGAAAAGATTACAGCTAATGAAGTCCAGTCAGGGTTAAAAGCTAGTTATTACTGACAAAGGGCCCATAATATCAGCTTTTTCCTTCTTTGACAGCATCTCTCTCCAATAACAGCACAAGGAAAGGACCTGTGTCTGAATGAATGTGCATGATTTTTTTTCCCTTGCATGAACTAAAAACTAAAGCGAAGATGCCTCTCTTGAGCAAGGGGTTGGATCAAGTGACCTAGAAATCCCTTCTGACATAACATTTTTCTACAACTCTGTGACAGCAATTTTCTGTCCTGCATATCTCCCCTGCTAACTCATAAAGCTACATAAAGCGACTGCATAGGCTCTGGGCATTGGTCTATACAGCAGCTAGCTCAGAGACAAACTCTAACTTGTCAGATGCTGTTTCAAGGTATTTTCACTCACCTTCTAGGTTATCCACCATCCTTCATTTTTTGGTGACTGATGCAGGAGCCAGCCTGGGAAAGGAGAGAAGCTATTGTGCAAAGCTAAGTGGGCAAGATACACATATTCCACAATAGATCTATTTCCCTTCCCTATAAGACCTAGAATGCAGCTTTGAATTTGCTGGACAGGATAACTTCTTTCAGTCAAGAATGAAATATTAGGTTACAGGAAATAGGTCTGTGAAAGTACCAGTTCACTGCTCAGTCAAAAAACCACAAATCAAATCCTAAAAATCATTTAATACAATCATTTATTCACTATATTTTTAATAAAAAAGCCAGATTTCTTTTTTTTTAAAAAAAAGACAGATGCTTTGTAACTGCAAACAGGGTTTGCTCATTTTCTACTACCTTTCTGAAATCCTGGTGCCATTGACACAAGAAAGGCTTGGAAACCATTCTCCCAATGAAACAGGTGGATAAGCTTACTTGAGGGAGCTTGTCTGCGCAAAGCACAGGAAGTAATGTCCTTACTTTACTGCTGATGGAGACTACCCCATCACCACAGTGACTTCACACCTGTCACACCTGATTTTATGCAAGCTTGAGAGTTGCATAAAACTTTGCCCTGCGCAACCAATGTGGTTTTTTTTTCAGTGAATCTCTCTATGGGTATCCTTCTGCAGACCAGAAGGAAAGGCACAGAGATCTGCTGCAGCTTGCCAATGATACATGCAAATCACTACAAAACATAAAATAGAACAAAGGTATTCCCATGCCTCATGCTGTACCTCATCACTTGCAAATGTGTTTCATCTCCAAGGACTGAGTGCTAGGAACTATAACCACATTTAACACTTGAGAGAACTTTGGTGGTCTAGCAACCAATGTAGCGACTTGAACCTTGTATGCAGATGAATGTCTGTTTTTTCAGGTATGTTTCAGAATAAGAATTCAGCTTTTGCTTGCGTAACTGTAGATTCCCAAAGGTATGTTTTATCTGTTATGGGTAGGGTATTCTTGCTTCACATTATCTCTCTTTGCTTGGAACAGGATAACGTGGATCTTGGTGACCTGATGTTTTCACTCTGCTACCTTCCAACAGCTGGTAGACTAACTATTACAATAATAAAGGCAAGAAATTTAAAGGCAATGGATATCACAGGAGCATCAGGTAGGAATGAATTTAATTGTCAGTGTGGATTTCTGTCCCATTTCCCTCGAGACACAGAAATCAGCAAATCCCAGAATCATTTTTGAGAAGAGAGTTTTTATGTTGCAAGCTTTTGAGTTACTTGAGTACAGGAGTTTCTGAGAAATAAAAACATATTTTAGTTTGTTTGCTTGCAACCAAGAGTTTAAAATAACCTGCTCTTAAAAAGACTACAAGATCATTATCTCTAAAGCCACTGTGATTCAGAATAGCATGAGTTGGCCAAACTGCATTCATAACACTGGGAATTTGTTTGTACAGCAGACTATTTGTTACAACTATGGCACAGAGGCAGACTGATCCTCTCTGACAGTCTCCAAGTGCCATTGAGCCAATTCTGTTGTCGTTGGCATATGGACAAAACAATGATCATCCCAGACTCCTTTCAGCAATGGTTTCAGGATTTGATAATGAAAACTCAAAACTAATTGAACTAAGAATTCACAGATAATTTTTAAATACTACCAGGGAGTTGTAGAGCTCCCAGAAAGGAGCTACTAAAACCCAGCTTTTTTTACTACATCCAAGAGTGTAAAAATATTTATAATTCTCTTGAGAACTATAAGCCACTAATTGTTACACTCTGAACTATATTTAACCATACATCAGTAAATCCGAATTGGTAAAATATTGTCATCTTCTGTCTGTCCTACGAATCTGTACAAGTAATTAGGCTGTTATAAATAGGCTGATACACAGGCTGTTGTATAAAACAGTCATGTATAACATGGTTCAGTGGATATTTTAATACCCTTTGAAGAAGTCAGTACACAACAAGGAGCTTCTTGAACCTAAATTGTTCATTATAAGCAGTCAACCAGGTAAAGCTTTCAAAGCTCCGCTGCCTCCCAGGCGTGCCATGGTAATAAAGAAGCTCAAATTCCAATCAGGTCCAGGTGACTAATTCTGCAAGCAGGTATGGGCATACAAGAAGGCTGCTCCCTTCACTTTTTATGTTTGCTTAAAAACAACAAAAGAAAACCAATATTGTTCTTATGATTCACACAGATCCCTACGTGAAGGTTTCTTTAATGTGTGAAGGAAGGCGACTAAAGAAAAGAAAAACTTCCACCAAGAGGAATACCCTTAATCCCGTTTACAATGAAGCCATAGTCTTTGACGTCCCTCCAGAAAACATTGACCAAATTAACTTGTCGATAGCTGTTATGGATTATGACCGGTGAGATACCTGTAGCTGTAAAATAACATCATCTATTGGCTCATAAAATCTTGCACAGTAGATTTGCATCCAGAAACAAAGTTATTATTTTTTTCCCAATAAACAGGAAATTTATATCATGTTGATTTTGGTAGAAGACTAAACTTTCTTGTATTTCCAGGCAGAATTTTCGTTCTAAATTTTGAAGTATAGATTTGCATCCATAACTGACATAACTGAGCTGCATATATGTTTACCAGAACTGAAATAACTCAATATATAATCAGACAGTCCACACACTGATGTTCTGTTTGTGCACAATTACACTAACCCCTTAGACACACACCTTCATTTCTAAAATTGCGGCCTAAAGTATACTTCTGCAACTAGTTACAGAACACAGGCAAAGAACTTTTTACATTCTTCATGCAAAAATGAGAAATAAATGCACACAGACACACAGTGTATGTTATAATGGGGAAAATATTAAATTATTCTGATTAGTGGGAAATGCAAAGAGCAAACCTACATATTTTATAGTTCATTGCATTTTTTCAGGCAAGAATTCATTCTAAAAATCCGTGATTATTGTTTCTAATGAAATGTGTCAATGGTATGGTTCTAAAGTAAAATTTTAAGAAAAAAATATTATGGAACATTTTCACAGTGTAGGTCACAATGAGGTCATTGGAGTATGTCAAGTAGGCAATGATGCAGAAAGCCTAGGTCGTGACCACTGGAACGAAATGCTCTCGTACCCTCGGAAACCCATTGCTCACTGGCATCCTCTTGCAGAGGTAAGACTTTCATTTCTTGCTTCCCTGTTACTATAGTTGTGAATATTCTTCCATATGGCGTTAGAATTTGGCTAAAATTTTATGAACAACACCAAGATCCAAATGCATGCGCTAATTCCTAGAAAAGGGCTCAGAAACACCAATATTAAAAGTCAAACATAACATGCAAGTTAAGTGTGCTCTTTCAATTTTAGGGGGACAGAAATTAATTAATGTCTTTAATATATATTTGAAAACACCAAAAATTATACACTAGATTAAGGGTTTGGTTTTGTTTCTCAATAAGATCTTGGGTAACTTTCAGTGATAATTGATATAAAGAAATGGACCTTGTTTACAGAACAACCGAGACCTATTTTTTTTTATGTAACAACCTAATTTGACTTCTTCTCTTGTAAGAATATATCATCCATGCCACTAGCACATCTCAAGGGATGCCTAACTACACTGAAAAAAAGAATGTTTAAGTGTCTCTGGAGATCTGAGGCGTTGATAAGAAGCCACACAATCAGAAAAGCTTTTCAAGGTTCCTATGTTTTTTTTTGTTTTGTTTTGTTTTGTTTTTTGTCTTTAGGGCCCTATTCAGCAGAAATGTTATGCAGGTCTTCTGCGCTTGGATGGCTGCCGA